CAGTCGGTTACACTTGAGAATACATGAATCCATAGTTTTAGTTTTCAGCCATACTTGCTTCCTACCGGCTTCATAAGAATCTTCTGTTTGTGCGTGTGTTCTTGAAAAGCACCCAAGAGTAAGACAGTTTATAGAGAATGCCATGTCACTAGTGAAAAAAAGAACGCGCTCAACTTTCTCCTAAAGATAGGACATTAGCATCCCATAAGAAACAGAACCTTATACTTCACAGTCTTAGTGCCTCCTGTCATAATCTATAGATATGTAGCTAAAAAAAATCATTGCCATTGAGTCAATCCCAACTCATACTGACTCCATAGGAAAGGATAGAACTGCACTGTTGGTTTCTGGTATTATAACTCTTTGTGGGAATAGAAAACCTCATATTTCTGCTGAGCAGCTATTGGTTTCGAACTATTGACCTGTGGTTAGCAGCCCAATAGGTAACCTCTATGCCACCAGGGCTAATAGGTGGGGGGGAAACGGTTAAAGAAATCAAGAATTTCCCTTCCCAATTGATAGTATTTGTAGAAATTCTAACAGCAGGAGGTTGAGACCTTTGGAAATTAAAGAAAAAGATGTATTTAATGACCAAGCTCATGATCTTATGGCCACTCTTACAGAACTATTTTCATTCAAGAAAGACATTAGAGAATGCAATAGTATTTCTTCCATCTACAGTGATTGCTAATATGCTGAGTATATTTGATGATCACATGCATTTAAAACTCTACAGTAGAAGGTCATACCATTGGGACAAATGATTGTGAACATGCTTGGCTTTTTTGCTGCAGAGAGTCTTGGGGCTAAGGGGCTACATTTTCTATGGCTGATTCTTCATGCCAACAATCAGTGTCTTTTCCATTTAAGAGCCCTCCCTCTCAGTTCCCACTGGACTCACAGGGAGAGGGATCTGGGTAGTTCTGATAGGGAAAATTAAAAGAAGAAACTAGCTGTATGGAAACTTTGGAAACCAACTCATCATCGCTGACAATGAATTTCTTCCCTAGACTACACACATATAAGCCTTACCACTAACCACGATAACCTTGAGTCAAAATGTAGCTTCAGTCCTTCTTGTCCACATTCTCATTCTGACAGATAAAAGTATGTGGACCCTCAAATGTCTTGAACGCTCTTAAAACTATCTTGTACAATGCTGGCACATTACAATTTTTTTCATTTATATCCAAGGGACATTTATAAGAGAAACAAAACGATTGTTTATTAGTGTCTTTTACATATATCATTGTATTTAATCCCCATTAGCTTACCTAAGCACCAAATGTTCCTGCATTCATTTTCCTGTTCTGTTAATTACTACCTTGCAACCTTGAACATGTCATTTACCACTGTCTATACCCTTACTTTCCTCTTCTGCACAATGGAAAATTTTAATTTCTTTATCATAAGGATGTGGTGACAATATCATAAGACTTTGAAAACTCTTATCAGGTTACTTATTACTTGCATATTGTATGCTGTGGAGCATATTATTGACTTTATAGGACATGGTAGAAGAACCCCCTAGGGTTTCCAGGCTGTAATCTTCATAGCGTAGGGTGCCATGCAAGCAAAAAGATTAAACTGCTAACTGACATGTTGGTAAATCAAATACACCATCCACTCCATCAGAGAGAGGGGAGGCCTGGGAAATCCTGTGGAGCCGTTCTGTTCTGCCTCATAGGGTCACTGGGAGTCAGAATTGGCTTGAAGGCAATGAATTTGATTTTGTTTTGCCTTTCCTTCCATAGAGTGGCTGCTAGGTTTGAACAGCTGACCTTTTGGTTAACAACTCAACCCTTAACCATGACACCACCGGAGCTCATGATCATATGTGAGGGGGCTTCCAAAAGTTCATGGAAAGCTTCAGTCATCTTTTAATTCCATTTTTTTATGCACTTTTTGAAGTGTTTTCAAACATAGCAGTTCCTGGGTGAATTGACGGGATCCGATGATTGTAACCGTGCTGCTGATTACCAGATCGTGTTATTCAAAGTGTGCCCAATGGCCAGCCGGTATCAGTATTACCTGGGGATTCATTAGAAATACAGAATCTTATTTTCTCATCCAAGACCTCCTGACTCAGACGCTATTTTAATATTTGCTTGTGTGTAGGCATATTGCAGTTTGAGAAACTATGAATGATTGCATTGTATGATATGCGAAGTATATGCCAATAAAACTATAAGAAACAAAAAAGCAAGGCCGTAATTTAGAGACTTCACCGAACTCATGCTAGACGTAAGCCCAGGATCCAGGTGGGAGTCATCCCTAAGTCAAAGGGAATTAAGGCCAGGCTCGGCCACTGCTGCATCTCGAAGGGCATCTCTGATTCAGCAGTGTCAGACTTCCTGAGCCCCATTGCAATGAAAACAAAAGCAGACCCAGTGCCATCAAGTCAGTTCTTTTTTTTTTAATCCATTTATTGGGGCTCAAACAATTCATCACAATACATAGATCAATTGTGTAAAGCACATCTATACATTTGTTGCCCTCATTATTCCCAAAATTCGCTTTGCTCTTGGGTTCCCGGAATCAGCTCGTTTTCCTTTTTCCCCTCCCCCTCCCCCCTCCCCCCGCATGAACCCTTAATAATTTATAAATTATTATTATATCTTATATTACACTGCCCGGCGTCTCCCTTCATCCACCCCTCTGCTGCCCGTCCCCAGAAGGGAGGTTATATGTAGCTCCCTGTGATCAATTCCCCCTTTCTACACCCCCCTTCCCTCCTGGTATCGCCACTGTCACCCCTGGTCCTGAGGGGTTCATCTGTCCTAGATTCCCTGCCGTTTCCAATTCCCATCTGTACCACTGTGCATCCTCTGGTCTAACCAGGTCTGCAAGGCAGAATTGGGGTCATGGTGGTTGGGGGGAAGAAGCGTTTAAGAACTAGAGGAAGGTTGTGGGTTTCATTATTGCTATACTGAACCCTACGTGACTCATCTCCCCACTACCCCTCTGCAAGGTATGTCCAGTTGTATAGAGATGGGCACTGGGTCCCCATCACGCGCCACCCTCATTGACGAGGATATGATTCCCCCCACCCCCCTACCACCCCGCCTTTGGTGTTTGAAGCCTAGTCCCTTCGGCCCTTCATGATCACACATGTTGGTGTGCTGCTTCCATGTGGGCTTTGTTGCTTCTGGGCTAGATGGCCGTTTGTTTACTTTCAAGCCTTTAAGTCCCCAGACGCTATAGGTCTCGATAGCCGGGCACCATCAGCCTTCTTCACCACACTTAACCATCAAGTCACTTCTAATTCAGTGTGACCTCATGTATACGGAGGAGAACTCAGCGTAGGCGTTGGTTTGGGTTTTACTATAGTCATCAGAGAAGTTAAGTTGCCAGGCTTTAATTCTTTAGTGCCCCTGGGTGAGTTTTAAACCAACAAAGCTAGCAGCCTGTCTCAAATATGAATTCTTATCCTGTAATCCGGACTATCACTGAAAGGGTTTTTAGAGCACATTTTTGTGTCTGCCATAGTTACAACAGCCACATAATTTTGTTTTATTTTTCACATTTTAAATTATTCAGTTGTTTTATTTGTCACTGTTTAGGGGATTATTACAAAGCGTATGTCTACAATGCTTCTGATTAATGCATATTTAAGCAACTAAGCAGATGTAGAATGGATTGACTACTTTGATAAAATTAAACATTGATGAAACATATATTTTCACAGCAATAATGATGTCAGCGTTTGTATAAATAACAGATCTATTTCCCTAATCATTGAGGAGGAAAAAAAATGTGAGAGAGTGACAGAAATACCAAATATGTCTGGCTTACTAGACAGATCATTTTCGAGTGCAAGTTTGTTAGTCCTTTTGTTGGTGGTGATTTTTATGTGAATAAATTATTTTCATTAATAGCATCTGTTACCATTGAAAACTAATGAAGCAAAGTAAGTGTATGTGAATAATAAAGAAAACAAAACATAAAACAATGTGGCTGAGCCTGTATGGGGTTCCCAGGACGCCGGGTGCATTGTGGAGAATGCAGGTTTTCAAGGTGTTTCTCCATGTTCCCATAGTTTGATTTTATACAAGAGGTAGCTTGAGATCTGAGCTTACGGAAGCTACCGCAATCATTTGTGCCTCACATTTTAGCATCTCTGAACTTGGGACTCGTCTTTCAATTGGTAGCACATCCCAAGGTGGTGGACAGGATTTCTTCTGTTTTACCATCAGTGGGATCTTGGATTCAATGAAATAGGAGATTAGGACCTGCAGTAAATCTAATGCTAGTCCATCAGGAACAATAACTACAGAAGGGAGCCAGAGGAAAACCAAAGGGAAAGAAAGTAGACCTAATGCTCCGCTGCATTACATCTAGAAAGGGAGATACATAAGCAGAAATGATCTTCTTTCCATGGATTTCTGATGTCATGGAGCCAGAGCAAGAAATCTTGGATGATAGCAGACTTTAGGAATAGAGCGGGAAAGAGAATAAGGAAGCTGGGACAGCAGGCGAGAGAAAATGAAACATCAAGATGAAAATGACAGCCACTAAGCACACTCTTGCAGTCATTATGCCCCAGGGGAGGTGCCCTGTGCTACTGTGTGAAATGTTGAACTGTCAGCACCTTTCAAGGGTTTTTTGTTTGTTTTGTTTTTCTCTTCTCTGGCCTACCCAGGTGGACTATGGTGCCATCATCCCACATGCTCTCTGAGCTCTGGTGGCAGAGTTGGTAAAGCTTTAGACTGCTAACTGCAAGGTCAGCAGTTTGAAAGCACCAGCCACTCTGTGGGAGAAAAATGAGGCTTTCCACTCTCAGAAAGATTTGTAGTCTCAGAAACCCACAGGGGCACGTGTATGCTGTCCTATAGGGTCGCTATGAGTTGGAATTGATTGAGTGACAGGAGGGTGGTGGTGGTGGTGGTGGTGGTGGTGGTGTGGTGTGTTTTCAAGTATTTCTGAGCACTTCATTTCTGGCCTAAACCACGAGGGAAGGTTTGAATGATTGTTAAATTTTTGCTTGTTTGTTCTTTCAGGTGATATCAAGATTATCGAACAAATCTACAGTCTCACAGGTATGGATTTTTCTAGAGCAAATAATTATCCAACACCTGATAGCCTGTCAATGATTCGGGCTCCTGATTTAGGATTTTAGTGTATTCGTTCATTCATTTATCCATTGATTTACTTTTACATTTTATTGCCCGATAAGAGATTTGATGACAGACTTCTTGTACTTGAGAATAGAGTATTTAAACTTATTTCAATATTTCAAAACAAAAAAGCTTATGTATTTTTTATTGTAGTGTCACCAAAACACTGATAAAAGTACAAATTCTAAAAGTACTCTCGTTTTACTTTGAATTGATAGTAAAATATTTTCTTGTAAGCAACCAATTGGTGATACAACAAAAGTATCTGCAATGTAGACAAGCATTGTTCAAAGAAATCCTGGAAGTAGTTTCACTTGAGTTATTAAGAGTTAAGTTGATGCTAAACATTGTAGCTGACTCCTGTGCATACTACATTCAGTGTAAATTGCTAAATTCATTTTGGAAAATTATTTGGCTCTATCAACTACCCCTTTTTCCCGAAAGTAAGACATCCCCCGAAATTAAGACCTACTTACAATTTTGCCTCTCGCAGAAATATAAGGCATCCCCCCCAAAATAAGGCCCCCCCAAAGCTGCTGTAACTCTGGACTGTGGACTGTAGTGGTGGGCGCCACTGAACAGCTCACTGTTGACCACAGCGCAGCCGGAGCAGACAGGAAGTGCAAGGTCTCTTTTAATAAAACAATAAATGTTTACCGTATTCTTCTTCATGGAAAAATAAGACACCCCCTGAAAATAAGACCTAGCACATCTTTGGGAACAAAAATTAATATAAGAGACTGTCTTATTTTCGGGTAAACAGGGTAGAACTGTACACATATACCCAATGGTTTAGCCATTCCACTCCAATTAAACATGTTTGCTAATAGGCATGTAGAAGAACCTTCATAGCAACAGTATGCATAATAGGCCCAACTATCAACAACCCAAATACCCACTGAAAGTCGAATGGATAAATACTATCTAGTATATCATATAATGGAACCCTAAAAAGCAAGAGTGAATGAACTATAACATGAAACAATATGGATCATTTAACATAAAGAATATTGAGCAATAGGAAACCAACTCATAAATTGTTGAATGTAAAAGTACTCTGTAAACTTTCACCCAAGTCACAAATAAAGTGTTTAAATAAAAAGGAAACCAAAAGTGCTTTCATTGTATTTGAAATTGATATTCAAATGTTTTCCTATAAGCAACCAGTTGATGCTACAGCACAAGGACCTATATAACATAGATAAGTGAGATTCAAAGGGATTCTGGAATAGTTTCACTTGGGTTCTTAAGATAGTCTCAACTTATAAGAACTAGCCAATGCACAGAATATTTTCTAATGAAATGGCAATGGGTCCGATTTATTATCTGAACTTCTTATTGTCAGTAATCCGGTGACAGGAATTCTATGAGCAGTTCCTTTCCTTGTGTGGTGTCCTCCTTAGAACACCACCCTGTGATACACACACACAAAGCACAAATATATCCAATTACATAATGAAGAAATTGACAGTTTACTGAAGACGGTTAGGGACATCAAGCAGGGTTTACTCTCAATAATACATGGAACAACTTCTTAGAAGCTCTTAAATCATCTGTTCTTTCAGTTTCCACTCTGACATCAGTGATCTCTTCTCTACAAAATTCCTCCTTGGAACCAACAAAACGTCTTTATTGTTTCAATCCTTCTCCTTAAGAAGCCTTTCCTCTTACTTTATCTCCCACACTGCCCACAAAGATCTCTATGTTGTACACGAAGATCAATCAAATTAATTTTTTTAAATGCTGCCATCAAATTGATTCCCACTCATAGTGACCCTTGAGGGCAGAGTGGAGCGTCCCCTGGGGGTTCCTAAGGCTGGCATCTTGGCCAAAGCCAACTGTCACATCTTTACCCTGGAGAAGCTGGTGGAGATGCACTGTCAACCTTTCGCTTGGTAGCAGAACACTGATCCACATCCTTGACTCCTTCCTAATACTCTGAAAATAAAAATTCCACTCAAGGAATAAAGCGCCCTTAAAAGATAAGAGTGGAGAATGTTAACAAAAATAAAAACAAAACACCTTCTGTATCAGAATACTTAAAATCTAATGTCATGAAGTAATAGTGACCTATATAAGGTTTTCAAGTCCATAAATCTATATTTACAAAATGTTTCTTTTAAAAAATGACAGTTTTTCCAAGACTGTAAATCAGTCGTACTTGCTCAGAGCTGCTGGTGGGTTTGAGCCACAAATGGTACAGTTAGCAGCCCAATGGCTAACTCACTGCACCGCCAGGACCCCTTCCCGGAATGCTCATGGATGGCCAACCACCTTATAATATTTAGTTTCATGGTTTAGAGATTCAGGCCCAAGGTTCCATGACAGAGCCCAGGTAATTGGCCTTATGATGACATATGTTTAGTACTCATGGTGTGTTGCATGGTGCCAGAACTCTTTAAGGCTTGTAAGTAGCCATCTAGGTGCAAAAATATATTGCTATTCATCAGGAGCAACAGAGAAAGAAAGAGAGTCATTGAGGTAGTTAGTTTATTGTGCCAACCTGGTCGATAAACACGTGTGAGGCTAACTGAAGGGCAGGGGGATAAATTACTCAGTGAGCCTCGCCTTTCTAGTTCTCAGGTCTCTTGCTTTGTGATGGTCGGAGCAGGGTGCTGCTCCCTTAGCCAGTTCCCTGCTTCAGCTTGCAAGGCTCACTCCCTGCAAGACATCCCTGAGGAGAAGCCGCATGGACCTACCCCGATGCAGCCCTGGGTGCTGGAGCAGCTGTGTGGAGACCCCTGCCAGCATTGAGATGCTTACATGCTCACTGATTCGGCTTTCCTCCTGCGGTCAGCATCATGGTGTGTGTTTTGTCAGCTTTAGGAGGACTTTTGGATTGGTGTTGGACATATGAGTTAATGTTGGACTTGTGAGCTTGGGCGGCACTGGGTTGGGATGTTTTCTTAATGTACACTAACCCTTTATATAAAATGCTCTTTTATACATCTGGGTTTCTGTGGATTTGTTTCTCTAAAGTACCCAGACTAATACAGTCATGAAAAGAAGTAGTATGTGGCGTGTACCACTGCCTCCTTCTTTTTGAGGCCTTTGCCAGGAGACCAGAAGAACTAGGATAGTGCCTTACTACTGCTACTCAATTTTTTTATCAAAGATTTTCTATAAGAATCATTATCAAAATGGAGATAAATCAGGACAGAATTTCATATTCTCATGGACTTCATACTAAAAACATCTAAAATATCCCTTGAAGTCATCATAAAACCAAATAGTTTATGTTACCTAGTAAAAAACAGATGCCTTGAGCATTAAACTCTTAGAAGAATTATCTACAGGCAGTCACCAGGTTCTAAATGATATCTCTAAGTATGTCTTTAAAATTTCTTAGTAAGAAGGACCAGGCGCATGTGGTTATTAGGATGAGGTTTTGTGTTCTTGTAAAATGTGCAGCCTTGGAAACTTTACACACAGTCGCCATGAGTTTAAATCAAGAAAGGTCTCTCTCAGGATGGCATCCTTTCTTCATATTTATTCAGTCTGTATGCTGAGCGGTTCCTCTGAGAAGCTGAGTTATATGAAGAACACAGTTATCAGGATTGGAGGACGATCATTAACAACCTTCGACATGCAGAAGACACACCCTGCTTGCTGAAAAAGGAGGACCCGAAGCACTTACTGATGAAGATCAAGAGTTGCAGACTTCAGTGTGGATTACAACTCAACGTAAAAAAAAAAAAAAATCCTCACAGTGGGTAACATCGAGCTAAATGGAAAACAGATGGAAGTTGTCCAGAGTCCACCTTGCTTGGATCCATAATCAATGTACACGGAAGCAGCAGCCAAGAGATCGAGTGACGCATGGCCTGGAGTAAAACAGCGGCACAAGACTTTGTTTTTGTCTCAAAGCAAGGGTGTTCCTTTGAGGGCTGAAGTGCGCTTTGACCCACAAGAAATGCTTCGTACACATGTGAAAATTAGACATCGATTTAGAGAAACCGAAGAAGAATCGATACATTTTAGTGATGGTACTAAAGAAGAATTTGAAAGTGGAATAGACTCCCAAAAAGACAAAACAAATCTGTCTTGGGAAAAGTACAGTCAGGATGCTCCTTAGAAGCAAGGATGGTGAGACTTTGTCTCATGTGCTTTGGGCATGTTATCAGGAAAGACCAGTTCCTGGAGAAGGAGATCGTGCCTGCTAAAGTAGAGGGACATCAAAAAAGAGAAAGACCCTCAACAAGATGATTGACACAATGGCTTCAACAATGGCCTCAAACATAAGAATTGTGCGAATGGCACAGGGCTGGGCAGCTTTGGCTCGGTGGTACACAGGGTCGCTATGAGTGGGAACTGACCAGACGGCACCATGCGACAAAAAGGGTCAAAACTAACTCGATGGCAGTGAGGCTTTGTTGTTGTTGTCGTTATTTTCAAATGTCTGAAAACTTTCAAAGCCTTGAGATAGTTAAAGTTTATTGTGCCAACCTGGCCGATAAACACATGTGGGATCAATTGAAGGGCAGCAAGATAAATGGCTCAGTGAATCTCACCTTTCTAGTTCTCGGGTCTCTTGCTTTCTGATGGCGGACCAGGGTGCAGCTGCCTTAGCCAGCTCTTGCTTCAGCTGGCAAGGCTCACTTCCTGCAAGACATCCCCAAGGAGAAGCCGCATGGACCTACCCCGATGCAGCCCTGAGTGCTGGAGCAGCCGTGTGGAGACCCCTGCCAGTGCTGAGATGCTTACACATTCACTGATTCGGCTTTCCTCCTGTAGTCGGCATCATTGCGTGTGTTTTGTGAGATGGAGGAGCACTTTGTGGATTGGTGTCGGACATATGGGCTAATGTTGGACTTGTGGGCTTGGGCAGCACTGGGTTGGGATGTTTTCTTAATGTACACTAACCCTTTATATAAAACTCTGTTATACATATGAGTTTCTGTGGATTTGTTTCTCTAATGTACCCAGACTAACACAGCCTTTTCAATGATTTAAATTGCATACACAACAAGTAAAAGTCACTATGGTGAAGGCTTTGTAGCCAATAAGGGTTGATTCAGGAGAAAGATGAGGCTTTGTATTCCCATTAAAAGTTGAAGTCTGGGGCATAGGGGCAGTGAGTTTAGTTTGTTTTGAGGGTTTGATTCAATCTTTCAAAGTGAAGGCAAGCTGGTTATCCTAGTAAGGAATTAATGGATTTCCTAATGGACTTACCATTGATTAAAACATTCATATATCTACTTGGAAATGTGAATCTAATAATGCTACTTCTGTAAGAAAATTTAAGCTATTGAGACACACACACACAGTTCCATGGGTAAGCCGAACATTTCACTTAGCACTTATGGCATTCACTGAATGACCTATCAGTCACTATAGGTTCAAGTTGAACTTTGGTGTTGCTATTTTATATCACAGTTTGTATCATATATATCAGGGATATAGTAAAAGTCATGACTATACCAGTGAACTAACTGGCAATGAATAACCAGGACAGCTCATGAGATTTAAATAGTGCATTCAGGGCACTTAGGGTTATTATTCCCATTTTTATTATAAATCATTTATGAGAAAATACAGGTGATTGCACCTTCGAAAGAAACGAAACACAAAAAAATTGGAGTGACTTTTGGGAGCAGAGAAACCAAATCTGGGGCAGAGTAGGAATCACACGGTCGTATAAAGATCCTGTGCTAGCCTTCGCTGACGTTTGCCCTGTTCCTGCACCACCACCCCCGTTGTCCCGTCCCGTCGTTCCTCTTCCTTGTTCTTGGCCCACAAGGTTGAGTGAACTCAATCAAGAGTTTGGTGGTCTTGAAGCAGGTTTGACAAGACGATGTCTTCCCCTTTTCCAAAGCTAACAACCCACTTGTGCAACTGAAGGGGGCAGAAAACAGTGCCCCTGGGAGACACCTTCTGATCCACTTCCATTGCAAATAGGAAGGTTGCATCATGGCCCATCGCTACCTAAAGTTCTATAGACCTTACAACGTTCAAAAATAGGGTCCCGGGCTGTCCAATTCAACGGAGATTTTCTTTATCCCTAAGAACACACTATTAGATACAACTGCAAGTGAAAGGCTATTTACAATCAAGATGAGAACCTGGTAAACAGTACTGTTCACACAGCTGCTTGACCCCCACCCCTCCCCACCAAGGCAGTTAAAAAGATCAAGAGAAAGAAAGCCGGGAAAGCAAAAGTAAATGAAGTTGGTTTTGGGGGTTTTTATGCGATTCTAATATGTGCATTAATAATAGCAACAGCTGCAAAAAAAAGTAATCATTTTAATGAAAAGTCTCCCAGAAACTGAACTTTGTTCAAATGAGAATTCCAGTCTGCAGAACGTCCCTCTCAAGGGTTTTGCAATCTCTACTAATCTGTACTGTCCTCTCATTTAGTCAGAGCCCAAGGGAAATGGCAGCATCAAGAAGCGACTCCCATCCATTGTGGAAGATGAGGAAGAGGAGGAGGAGGGGGAGGAAGAAGAGACTGTCTCCCTCTCCCCCATCTACACGAGGGGCCCCTTCTCTTCACGAAACAAGAAGGCTGGAAGCAATAAAAGCTACCTGGGCTTAAGTTTGAAGCAGCTGGCCTCAGGGACAGTGCCGTTTCACTCACCTATCAGAGTCACCAGTTCGAATTCTCCCAAAGCCAAACAGGAAGCCGACCTCCCTAACCATGGGAAGAGGAAAGAGAAGAACTGGAAACTCCAGCTCTCCGCTTTGAATAGCGCTGGACCCCCGGACCTCAGTCCCAGGTAAGAGGTCATGTCACAGCATTCTTCACAGGTGGTGGTCTCTGCCTTTGATTCAGTCAAGTACTTGACTTGAAAGTCCTCAGCCTTCGGGGCCTCTCAACTGCCGGGGCTTCTGATTGACCTGGGTTTTTTATTTTTATATTTTTTACTCTTCTTTTCCTGACTTCTGTATACGGTGTTTTTCACTTTATGGTGCAGATCCGTGTGCGTGGGAGCAAATCCTTTTAGTATCTTTTCAAAAGGATTCATTAAATATTCAGAACTGCTTTTCGACTCATTTCCTCCATTTATTCTGATCATTATCCTAAATGTGTACTTCTCTAATTTTATAATGTATACATTTACCGATAGTAAACAAACATTTATCGATGTCATCTTACCAAGAGTTCATGAAGGAGCAAGTTGAAGTTAGAAAGGAAATTAATTTTCTATTTTTTATGCTCTTTGCTGTATTGTTGTAGATGTCTGAAGCTTAGTTTAATTGCGGGCCTCTTTAAGAGGCCATGGAAATTCATAGGGATGCTGTATAAGTTTTCTGAGGTTTTAGATTTTTACAGAGCAGATGGCCTCATCTTTCTCCTACAGAGTGGCTGGTGTGTTTGAACTGCCAGCGTGGGGGTTAGCCATCTAATGCTTACCCAACAGTACTAATAGAGCTTCAATGTCTGATAACAGGCCTGCCCCCGCCCCCTAATGTTCACTTTGATTTTTACTAAAGGTAACTGAGGGTGGAAAATCCTGACGCAGAAAATGTGCAAGGGTCAAGCTCTGGTATACAGAAGCAATAGTAATAGCTCCAATCACCGAAGAGCTGGTTTATAAATAGAAGCCAGAAAAGGAAGGGGTGGAGGGAAGGGTTTTCTGTGTTCTGTGCATTTGGCTAGGTAAATTCACTTTAATTATTGATTTAGTCTTCTCAGGGATTCCATAAAACAGTTCATCTTATCTGTACTGTGAAGTTTTAAGAAGTGAAACTTGAAGGTTAAATACTTTTATCTCAGATATTAAGTTCTGAAGGCTAGATTCAAATTTCATTTTCAAATTGTCAGGCAAGTAATATGTGATATATTTAATTATTCACTTTCATAATACAGCTTATCCATTAGAGGAAATAGTAAGGATTTTAAAATTATTTAAAACTAGGTTTAGTAAAAACAGACATATATTAGGTGTCCAGTGATTCAGTTAAAGATGGTTATTTGAGTATAGTACAGTGCTTATGTCTCTCCCTCCTAAATTTTTACTAAAAAAAAAAAAAACACATACATTTTTAAACAGGAAAATGTGTCAGAGCTGGAAAAAGAAAAGTTTATATGTAATATGTTCCCACATTTACAAAAAAGAATATATTTTATTTCCTATATAGAAAAGGCTTTGAGAACATACACCAAAACATTCACAGTGGTGATAGATTGCATGTGATTTCTATGTTATTTTTATTACTTTTGTATTAAAATGTTCTATAATTAACTTGTTTTTTATTTTTACCATATTATTAAGGACTGTGTTAGACATGGTTCACTAAGAAAAGCAGACTGGCTAAAGTCCTGACAGGAATACAAATATATTTCTTCAGCCCTCACATTCAGAGTTTTGTCCAAGTCCAGAATGGAAATGTCACTCAGGCTATTTTCAGTGATGTTATAATAATACCTTAACATAGTTTCTTACTAGATTGGGTAGTGGTATAATATGAATTTAAGAAGTGAAATTCTGGATCTTAAAGTTGGGAATATGAAAATAAATGAGTCTAAATCTTACGGCAACATTGTCCAGTAGAAACAGAATATAAGCTGAAATTTTGGGCTGCATGTCATTTAATTTTTTCACAGAGCCCCAGTAAAATATTTAAAAATCAGATGAAATGAATTTTAATCACATATATGTTATTTGAAGCAAATATATTAAAACGCTGCCCTTTTAAGGATAGCCAATTAAAATGTTACTAAGAGATGTAATTTTTAATCCTTTTCTTTTCTAATTCTGTGTTTTACAGTTTCAGCCTATCTCAAGTGCTCTAGGTACATTGTGCTCAATCGCCATAGAAGGTTAATTGTTACCAACTCCACAGGACAAGTCTAAAGTAGCTAGAACTTAGGTACATAGCACAATATTTTAAAAGAAATGTATTTCCGTAAACCTGAGACCCATTAATTTAAATACCCAATCATTTGAAGTAAAGCATCCTTTCTTTTGTACAGAACGTTTTCCTTTTCTTCAAACAGACTGTTTTCCTTTATTTTACACAGAATTGTCGATGGAATTGAAGATGGAAACAGCAGTGAAGAGAGCCAGACTTTTGACTTCGGCTCTGAACGAATCAGGCCAGAGCCCAGAATTTCCCCACCTCTCGGAGGTGAGCTCCATCTATATCGAGTCTTCTCGCAAGGGGCAGTTTTGCTTTTCAAATTGTGATGTTTGGCACAAGCATTGTTTTGCTTTCCCATGCAGCGTTTTCTCCATGCAATAGAACGTTACCAATACCTGAGGTAATTTTATTTGAGTCTATGCTGTCTCCAAGTTGGAATGATAGCATTTACTATTGTTCCTCTGTCCAAGCTAGATGCCCTACTATTTAACAGGTAAATAGCACCCCAGAAGACTCAAATTCCTATGATTCGTCAGAGGTTAAACATGCCTTCTTATTTTAAATACACACTAACCCACAAAAACAACCTTATCCAGAGGAAATGCACTGTTGCTTGTGTACTGGAGGAACAATGGTTGTATTTGGTGTGAAGTTATTGACTTGCAGTTTGTCATGGAATAAGCAGTTTTAGATGGATCTGAGCAATTTAAAAATGATGGAGAATGATATGAACCTTTAACATCCAGTCGCCAGCAGATGAAGGTAAGGGTACCCTCAAAATAAACCTTAGGCCCTCTCCTTCCCTTTCTGTCTTAAAGTCAATGGTTATTCAAAGGAATCTGTCAACATGACAAAGGCCAGAAAGGACACAAAAGAAAACAAACTAAATACAAATCCAGACCTGTATCTTATGAAGAGAGAGAAATAAACAATTGTCGAATCATCCAATCAAAAACAAGCCAGCTACCAGATGCAAAGGCAACACCATCCCTGCCCACCTTCTCCTCTTCCCATTCAACGCTGAGACCTTTTCTGTCACTAGCTTCTACTAATCAGTGAGTTTACCTATGGACAAACTCACATCCAATAAAGATAGTGAATTGTGCAGCGCTGTGGGTGGGTCATTGGTGACTGCCTCCGTGTTCCCTGGGAGTCAACAATTGTTCTCTGTGCACACTAGCTCTAGGAAAACCTACAGTCCTATCAGAATCCATCCATGACAGGGAGAGGGCTATGTTCGAGGGAGAGTATAGAAGTTAGTCAACCATTCAGATTAATAAGTGCATTTGATCTACAGGGTGTACACAAGGCATATAAAAGATGGTGCTAGCCATTGTGGTGGTGGATTTCAGTTGGAAGTTTTCCCTGTTGGCTCATCTGGAAATAACATAGAAAGGCTCACTGTTTATTGACCTACTTTAGAGTTCACTGGCCTTAAATGTCTTTCTTTTATTCTCACAGTTATGTCAAATTATCCATTCAAGTAGCATTTTTCTTGGTTCTTCCTCATAAATTTCTCCTGGTTTTATCCATTTTTACTACCAAATTTCTATTTCTTGTATCTATGTCTTGGCTCGATTACTACCAAAATACCTGCTTTAGCCTCACACTGTAATCAATGAAATGTGAACTTTCTAAAAATTGAAATTTATTCTTTTTTTTTTAATTTTAATCATTTTATTGGGGGCTCATACAACTCTTATCGCAATCCATCCATCCATTGTGTCAAGCACATTTGTACATTTGTTGCCATCATCATTCTCAAAACATTTGCTTTCTACTTGAGTCCAAATTTATTCTTATTACGATACTCCTATATATCTTGACAGAAAAGCTGGTGGTTTCAAATTGATGATCTTCCCAACAAGAAAAACTTACAGTCTCATAAGCCCACAGGGGCAGCTCTGCTCTGTCCTTTGGGATCACTATGAGTTGGCAATGAGTGTGTGTGTGTGTGTGTGTGTGTGTGTGTGTGTGTGTGTGTGTCTATATCTATATAACCCTCCAATGTTTTCTCCTTGCCCTTTGGACAAAACCCAAACTTCTTTTGCATTTTAAATGTCTACACTCGAAGTTCCATGAAGGGAAAATTTATTTATTTTCTTTGTAACAGTTTCCTCTCAAGGAGTCCTGACCTATTCTAGGTGCGGCTTTGCATTCATTTGTTGAGTGAACAGATCGCCTCTGCAAACTAGACCCTTTCGGATGGTTGGAATGATTAGATTTCAAATACCAACCTGGTAGCCTGTGGTGAACTGCCTTCAGCAGAGCTTCTAGACTAAAATAGTCCAGGAATTAGCTGCTGAAAAATGTATGAATAGCCGCAGAGTAGTGTCCGCTGTGGTGCCACCTTGACTATGGTGGTGATTGGGATCAGGGAAAGGGAGATTTGCCATCCAATCAATTGTGGTCATGATCACCACCCTGATACGTGCCTAGCTCTATAGCGTGTATCAGGTGCTATCAAAGGAGTATAAGAAAAGTGCCCCAGTTGGGCAAAGCCCATAGTGCCCAGCATCAGTAAAGAGTGAGGGTGATAGCTGAGCTTCCCTCCCGAATCCTGGCACGTGAGTTCTCTTCCGAACGGACTCACTTGTGGGTTTGTTGCTTTTCAGACCCGGAGATCGGAGCAGCTGTTCTCTTCATCAAAGCCGAGGAAACCACGCAGCAAATTAACAAACTCAACAGTGAGGTATGGGGGTTTCTTCCTTCTATGGGCTGATTGGACAGGTAAAAGGATTTATAAATACTAACCACTGAAGGACACAGTATAATATATTGATCACTAGCATGCATTCGATTGTCAATCTACAATTATCCTAATAGTAATTGTGTGACTTTTAACAAGTCACTTAGTCTCTCTAAAGCTCCATTCTTCCATGTGTAAAAAGGAGGTCATGCGAGGGTGTTCAAAATTTCATAGAAAAGTGGAATTAAAAGATAGTGGAATTTCTACATGAATATTTTGAAACTCTCCCCCTCCCCTTCCTGACATTGCTTAGCTTGTGACTCAAAGTGAAAATTAAATGAGAAAATCTAGGCAAAGAATTTAGCATAAATGGAGCACTAAAGAGGTGATTTTTTAATACCTCATACTTTAAAGATATTGTTTTAATTGGGGGTCTTCTGTCATGCAATTTTTAATGGTGTAACCAAGAATATTGGTCCAAATGTCATTGTTATTGCCTGGATCAGACAGTCATTATAATTGCCTGTTCCCTTTATCTGGTACATACTTGCTTTCTAACCTTGATGCAGTTATTTTACCTTTCTATGTCTTACTACTTATGCATGTTAGATAAGGTAATTCAGATTTTTGTAACAACTTTACATATCATAAAATTTACCCTTTCCAAGTGCACAGTTAAACGGCCTTAGTAATTTTATCAAGTGGTTCAATGATCATCACCAGTTTAAAAATATTTTCATTTGACCATTTACAGTTAATCTTCATTCTCTCCCCAGCCCCAAGCAAGCACTATTGTAATTTATGTATCTCTAAAGGTGTCTTTTTTGCATATTTCACATAAAGAAATAAAATAATATTTTGATCACTGACTTCGTATAAGTTCTCCTAGCCAAGACAGAAATGACTTGGGTACAAATACATAGTTCATTTGGCAGGTGATCAAGGAAGCTTTCTGAACAAGTGAAGAAGTCAGAGAGGGAAAAAGGAAAGTCAACAGAGATTGTGCTCATGAGAGTGGCTGTCACAAACAACTGGGGCTCAGCCCTGCTACAGATCTTTGAGAGGCTGGATGGGTTATACTTGACCCATCGAGGAGCATGGAAAGTGAAGTTCAGGTGTCTAACAGCAGAAGAGGCAAAAAAACCAATTTCCAGCAGGAATATTCAAGACTAGGAGGGCCTCTTTAGTGACCTCCTGGTATTCCTAGGCCAAAGATCTATGGGCAGGGATAGAGTCTACAACAAAATACACTTCTAGGTTTAACATGTTAGATTACACTGGTCAACACACATTTCTGGGTATGTTTGGCCTGCTGCTGATTCAAATAAATAAATATAAGGCACCAGTTTTCCCCTATTGGCTTTAGTTTTTTAAATATAGAACCATATGCCTTCTACCATTCTTCACACTGGCAATAAAAAAGCAAGATGTTTTAATGAAGTGTTAGCTAGCCTGAGATAGAGGAAGTGCACACAGGCTTTAGTTAAAGCTGTTTGTTTTGTACTAAATATTTAGGTCAAGTTATACTTCCCCTGGTATCCTTTGATCCAAAGATATATTTGAATGGAGTCAATTACATGAACTTGAAATTTTCCCCGGTATCACTTCACCTTTATTACGAACAGACTAACAGGCAGTTACAATTTGTTATCTTAAACCAGGGCCAGAACTCAGGGCTACTCCACAATCAATAAGGAGCCCTGATGGCTTAGTGGGTTACGTGTTTCACTGCTAAGTGCAGGGTCAGTTCTTTGAGCCCGCAGCCACTCTGCAAGAGAAAGATGAGACTTACTGCTCTCCAATGATTGACAGCCTCCGAAACCCACATGAGGAGTTTCTCTGTGTCCGATAGGGTCAATATGCATTGTAACCCACTGACTGGTAGTGAATTGGTCCAATAGAGATCCAAGTGTTCTGAAATGCCACATGGGTCTATCAGAGTTCAACCACCTTTACTAAAATTAAAATGTTCCAGGCTTTTTATAAGGTGGCACAACTTCTCCACCTGTGCACAGAAAATCTTAAAAGACAATTTTCCTTATAAAGGATGTTGGCGTCAACCTCACCCCTGAAACATTTAACATGGATTATCCATTGACCTTTCTACATTCAAACGTGTTCTGAAATGTTTAGTGCATAATTTAAGGAAGAAAAATATAGATTTAGCAGATTTTCAAAATATTTATGAAAATTGCTGTGAAGTCTGACATTTTTGATGCTCTAAATTTCCCTCACACCTCCATCTCTGTACCTTTTCCATTTTCTTTTTTATTGCCCATGATTTTCAAGCTGTGCTCTGGTTTTCTGGTATGCACCTTGTCTCAATTGATTGCACAGTCTCCTATTTCAAAAAGAAAAACCTGCTGCCGTCTAATCAATTCTAACTCACCTATAGAACAAAGATAAACCTATAGTTTATCTTGTGACCCTATAGAACAAAGATAAACTGCCCCTTTAGGTTTCTAAACCTTTAAATCTTTCAAAGATGCAAAGTGACTGGTGGGTTCGAACCACTGACCTTATGATTGGCATCAAAATGTCTAACTAACTAGCCACTGTGAGTCTATGGACAGCTTCCCTGGATGTCCCTTAGTACCTAATTCTTTTTCAAATATGTCTTAACTTTTTGTTTAATCCTGTGACATGTGGTCTGAATTCTCACATTTAAAACTACAATTATAACTTAACAGCTGGAAATAGAGTGGAGCACTATATCTAAGAAACTAAAACAGATTTTCTGAATTAGTGCCCCTAGTAATCCCAGGAAGAGGCCTAGAATCCAAGACACCAAAGAAATAATTTTTTTTTTTGGTTGGCCTGTGTTATCTCATTATTTCTTAGAGGAAAATGTAACCATGTGATAGTAGAATTTGGGGAAAATGAAATTCATATAATCAGCTTCCAAATATCTGTCATAATAGGATTCTGCAGCTTGTTGTAAAATGCACAGATTTTCCTTAAAACTATTTCTTCACCTAAGTGAAGATTTATGGTTTGCTGCCATCTCTCGCACACCTGCACTCTCTGGGGAAGGGTTGCTAACAAGAAGGCAGAGGACCAAAGGGCAGACTAACAAGACAGAAAAGAAAAATTACATGAGCCACTCTCTGGATGCTAAGTCCTTAAATCACAAGAACCTGAGCATATGCCGGGTCATCCACATGGCTTCTTGTTAAAAATACACCAAAAAAACCAAATTTTTTTTTAATGCCTGTGGAGGAACTGGTTGTTACCCATCTATTTACAACCTTCTCTTCAGATATTTTTTCCTTAACTAAAAAGGACCATTAATGCCATTTGAATTCTTCTCCCCTGCATTTTGAAAGAGCACTTGATAGTTTCTGTAACTGATTGAGTATTGGAGTTAGTGATTCTTCTGAAAATTAAAAAAAAAAAGTATTCTTCATCTTTTAGAAAGCAGATAGTGTTTCTATATTAAGGCATGTATCCACACACTATAATTTTTTGACTATGTGGGCTAGTTGTAGATGCCTTAAATCAGATAACCACTTAAAACAAACAAACAATTATATCCACAATAATTCTGTATTCATGATTGCTTTTCTAGCAAAAAGACATACATTTTTTATCTTGTCATTCTCTGAAAGAAAAACAGGATAAAATATCATGTATCCAACTATCTTTTCCTAATCCGTCCATTTTTGTGTTTGGAGAGATATCTTGACATCTTCATACTTAAAGCTAAAGTAGAAAAATCGTATCCTTTACACATAGTTTATATAAAAGGATCCTTTATATGATCCTTGGCAAATTACAAGGCTTGAAACGGTGAGATAATCTTCTTCTAACCTATGTTTGTTCTTCATATCTCCTACAACGTAATTTTTCTTTGTTGTTCTTGAGTGCCGGCAAGTCGATTCAAATCTGAACAACGCCATTGGACAGAGTAGAACTACTCCGTAAGGTGTCCTTGGCTATCATATTATGGGATGTATGGGAATAGACTGCCAGGCCTTTCTTCCATGTCTCCGCTGCTGGGTCTTAACCACTGACCTTGTCGCTAGTAGCCAACCACTTCACCAGTGCACCACAGAGATTCTTAAAGAAAAAGAAAATGTGTTCTTTAAAATCTAAGCCTAGCTTTTCTGTTTTGTCTATTTTCTACTTCTCAGATGTATGCTCGTATGATTGTTCAATTTGTTATTTATTCTACTCCTTGTTTAGTCACAAGCAAGACAAGGTGCACCACATAACTATATTTCCCAACTGAGGGAATATCTGAGGCCCTTGCAGACCATGGGTAGCACTGTGTTCAGGGGTAAGCACATAGCATTGAAGAATCCCTATTTGGACACTTGTTCAATGCATTTTTTAAAGTATATTCATGTGTAGATTTCATAATCTGCTGGCTAAATACAGAACAATGATCAGAAAAGGAATAATATTAGTAATAACCTATATCCGCAGAACAGATCAGAGACATTCAAAAGATGTAGGGCAGCCGCTAATAGTGGTCTTTTTGACAACATAGCCACTGCTTCACAGCAGAGGAAGAAGTAGTGTGAATGTAAGGACATGCTTTGAAAACGAGCAACAAAACATCGCCACGGGGGTCGTGGGCTTTGTAAGTCAAATGTTCCACAACTGAAAAGGTTTGTAGGTGAACATGAGAGTACTGACTCCTTTCTAAAATCCGACTGACCCCGATTTTAGTATATTCATGGATTGTACCTTTATCACCAGAATCCATTTCAGACATTTGATGGCTTTGTAGGAAGTTTTGAAATGAAGAAAGGCAAACCCTCCGATGATGTCATTTTTGAGATTGTCATGCCTATTGTCTATCACTTGGAATTTCACATGAATTTATAGACTAGTTTGTCAATTTCTACAAAGAAGTCAAGCTCAAATTTTGATAGCCAATGAGGATAATCTGGAAATCTGTATAAGTAATATGTCCAAGTTTTCCTGGTGAGTAAGTGCTCCACCAACCACTTCCATGGCAGTTTGTAGTACTGTGGTGGCTTGTGTGTCTCTGTGGT